AGGGGGCACAGGTGGCGCATCAGCCAGTCATCTCGGTATCTCGGTCAGTCGACCCGTGGCACCTGCTGGGTCTGCCCCGTGACTTCCTGCCAGCGGGCGTTCGACACTTCACGTGGCCTCAAGGTGCACATGGCCTGGCACAAGCTCGTGGTGACGTCACCGCCACTTAGTGGCAAATGGCGGTTGTTGTTGTTGTGTGTTACTGTGTGTGTCACTGTGTGTGTTACTGTGTGTGTGTGTTATTGTGTGTCACTGTGTGTGTTACTGTGTGTGGTGTTACTGCTGCAATGATACACAAACACAAAGATCCCACGTATAGCCTGCGAGACTGTAGGGGCAAGTGCTGTTAGCGCGAACCCATGAAGGCCGACACGGCACACGAGGGGGTGGGTGGCCAGCGCCACGCCCGGCCGCCTTTGTCTCCCTAGTGGCGATGTTTATGCATCGCACCAGGTACTCATTTGAGGCTGAGTCGACCTAGGAGAGGCCCAGAACCGGTTCAGATAATCGTCACCAGTGTTGACCGTAGCGTAGTGCGCTAACCGTTGTACTACCGCTCCCTACATGCAACACATAACACCACACACACAACACACATGACACAATATACACACACTACACACACACTACACAAAACACACACACACACTACACACACACTACACACACGACACCACACACACTACACACACTACACACACACCACACACACAACACACACACACAATTTCCCACACAACACACGCAACACTACACACACACACACTACACACAACACATTATAAAACACTACACACACAACACACGCCACACACACTATACACACACTACACGCCACACATAACACCGCTTATCCCGCTCCCCTCTCATCCCACGGACACCCCACCACTCACCACTCACCCTGCACACTCACCCTCCACTCACCACTCACCACACACTCACCACTCACCCTGCCCACTCACCACTCACCATCCACTCACCACTCACCACACACTCACCACTCACCCTGCACACTCACCACTCACCCCGCCCACTCACCACTCACCCTGCACACTCACCCTCCACTCACCACTCACCACACACTCACCACTCACCACACACTCACCACTCACCCTGCCCACTCACCACTCACCCTGCACACTCACCCTGCACACTCACCCTCCACTCACCACTCACCACACACTCACCACTCACCACACACTCACCACTCACCCTGCCCACTCACCACTCACCCTGCACACTCACCACTCACCCTGCACACTCACCCTCCACTCACCACACACTCACCACTCACCCTCCACTCACCACTCACCACACACTCACCCTCCACTCACCACTCACCCTGCCCACTCACCACTCACCACACACTCACCACTCACCCTGCACCCTCACCCTCCGCTCACCACTCACCCTGCACACTCACCACTCACCACACACTCACCACTCACCCTGCACCCTCACCCTCCGCTCACCACTCACCCCGCCCACTCACCCTCCGCTCACCACTCACCCCGCCCACTCACCACTCACCCTGCACATTCACCACTCACCCCGCCCACTCACCACTCACCCTGCACACTCACCACTCACCCTGCACACTCACCACTCACCCTGCACACTCACCACTCACCCGCCCACTCACCACTCACCCTGCACACTCACCCTCCACTCACCACACACTCACCACTCACCCTCCACTCACCACTCACCACACACTCACCACTCACCCTGCACACTCACCACTCACCCTGCCCACTCACCACTCACCCTGCACACTCACCCTCCACTCACCACTCACCCTCCACTCACCACTCACCACACACTCACCACACACTCACCACTCACCCTGCACACTCACCACTCACCACTCACCCCGCCCACTCACCACTCACCCTCCACTCACCACTCACCACACACTCACCACTCACCACACACTCACCACTCACCACTCACCCCGCCCACTCACCACTCACCCTCCACTCACCACACACTCACCACTCACCCTGCACACTCACCACTCACCCCTCCACTCACCACTCACCCTGCACACTCACCACTCACCCTGCACACTCACCACTCACCCTGCACTCACCACACACTCACCACTCACCCCACCCACTCACCACTCAACCCTCCGCTAACCACTCACCCTGCACACTCACCACTCACCCTGCACACTCACCCTGCACACTCACCCTGCACACTCACCACTCACCACTCACCCTGCACACTCACCCTCCACTCACCACACACTCACCACTCACCCCACCCACTCACCACTCACCCTGCACACTCACCACTCACCCTGCACACTCACCACTCACCCTGCACACTCACCATTCACCCCACCCACTCACCACTCACCCTGCATACTCACCACTCACCCCCACCCACTCACCACTCACCCTGCACACTAACCACTCACCCCACCCACTCACCACTCACCCTGCACACTCACCACTACCCTGCACACTCCCACTCACCCTGCACACTCACCACTCACCCTGCACACTCACCACTCACCCTGCACACTCACCCTCCACTCACCACTCACCACACACTCACCACTCACCCCGCCCACTCACCACCACTCACCCCGCCCACTCACCCTGCACACTCACCCTCCACTCACCACTCACCACACACTCACCACTCACCACACACTCACCACTCACCCCTGCACACTCACCACTCCCCCTGCAACACTCACCCTCCACTCAACCACTCACCACACACCTCACCACTCACCCTGCACACTCACCACTCACCCTGCACACTCAACCCTCCACTCACCACTCACCACACACTCACCACTCCCCTGCACACTCACCCTCCACTCACCACACACCTCACCACTCACCCTCCACTCACCACTCACCACACACTCACCACTCACCCTGCCCACTCACCCTCCACTCACCACTTCACCACACACTCACCACTTCACCCTGCTCACTCCACCCTGCACACTCACCCTCCACTCACCACACACTCACCACTCACCCTGCCCACTCACCACACACTCACCACTCACCCTGCACTCACCACACACTCACCACTCACCCCCACCCACTCACCACTCACCCTCCGCTAACCACTCACCCTGCACACTCACCAACTCACCCTGCACACATCACCACTTCACCACTCACCCTGCACACTCACCCTCCACTCACCACACACTCACCACTCACCCCCACCCACTCACCACTCACCCTGCACACTCCACCACTCACCCTGCACACTCACCCTCCACTCACCACTCACTCACCACACACTCACCACTCACCCCAACACTCACCACTCACCCTCCGCTCACCACTCACCCTGCACACTCACCACTCACCGTGCACACTCACCACTCACCTGCACCATCTCACCACTCACCCTGCCACGCACCACTCACCCTGCACACTCACCACTCACCCCCACCCACTCACCACTCACCCTCCACTCACCACTCACCACACACTCACCACCTCACCCCACCCACTCACCCCTCCGCTAAACCACTCACCCTGCACACTCACCACTCACCCCTGCACACTCACCACTCACCCTGCACACTCAACCACTCCACCCTGCACACTCACCCTCCACTCACCACTCACCCTGCAACACTCACCCTCCACTCACCACACACTCACCACTCACCCCACCCACTCACCACTCACCCTCCACTCACCACTCACCCTGCACACTCACCCCTCCACTCACCACTCACCACACACTCACCACTCACCCAACCACTCACACACTCACCCCCGCCCACTCACCACGTACCCTGCACACTTACCACTCACCCGCACACTCACCCTACACCTCACCACTACACCACACACTCACCACTCACCACACACTCACCACTCCACCCTGCTAACTCAACCACTCACCCCTGCACACTCACCACTCACCCTGCACACTCACCACTCACTCACCACTCACCCTCCACTCCACCACTCACCCCGCCCACTCACCACTCACCCTGCCACTCACCCTCCGCTCACCCCACATCACCCTGCACACTCACCACTCACCCTGCACACTCACCCTCCACTCACCACTCACCACACACTCACCCTGCCCACTCACCACTCACCCTGCCCACCACCCTCCACTCCACTCACCACACACTCACCACTCACCCTGCACACCACACTCACCCTGCACACTCACCCTCCACTCACCATCACCACACACTCACCCTGCACACTCACCACTCACCCTGCCCACTCACCACTCACCCTGTGTACTCACCACTCACCCTGTGTACTCACCACTCACCCTGCACACTCACCACTCACCTGCCCACTTACCACTCACCCTGCACACTCACCCTGCACACTCACCACTCACCCTCCGCTCACCCTGCACACTCACATCACCCTGCACATCACACTCACCACTCACCACTCACCCTGCACACTCACCACTCACCCTGCACACCACCACTCACCCTCCACTCACCACTCACACACCACACCACTCACCACTCACCCTGCACACTCACCACTCACCCCGCCCACTCACCCTCCACTCACACACACCCTGCACACTCACCACTCACCACACACTCACCACTCACCCTGTGCACTCACCACTCACCCTGTACACTCACCACTCACCCCACTCACCACTCACCACACACTCACCACTCACCCTGCACTCACATCACCCTGCACACTCACCACTCACCCTCCACTCACCACTCACACACACTCACCACTCACCCTGCACACTCACCACTCACCCTGCACACTCACCACTCACCCTGCACACTCACCACTCACCCTGCACACTCACCCTCCACTCACCACTCACCCTGCACACTCACCACTCACCCTGCCACTCACCACTCACCCTCCACTCACCACTCACCACACACTCACACTCACCCCGCCCACTCACCACTCACCTGCACACTCACACTCACCCTGCACACTCACCACTCACCCTGCCACTACCACTCACCCTCCGCTCCCCACTCACCCTGCGCTCACCCCGCGAGGCTGCAGGGCGCGACACGTGGTGGTGTGGTGGGGCTCGTGCGGGAGTCGCCGCCCGGCACCCCACGCGCTTCTCCCGCAGCCGCCGCTGAGTCCCCCCCCCGTGGGGTCCCGTGGGGTCCCCTCGGCCCCCGCTCGCTCGACCCTGGCGGGACCCCCTTGGGGAAGAAGGGGGCCGCTGGGGAAGGAGGAGACGAGCCGCTGCTGCTGTTTGGTGATGGCGCAAAGCGGCGGCGTGGGGTGCAGGGTAGGCGGCGCTCGCGGGCGGTGGTGGTGGTGGGAGGTAGTGGGGGTGGTGGTGATGGTGGTGGGGGGATGGTAGTGGGGGTGGTGGTGATGGTGGTGGTGGGAGGTAGGGGGGTGGTGGTGGTGGTGATGGTGGTGGTGGGAGGTAGTGGGGGTGGTGGTGGTGGTGATGGTGGTGGTGGGAGGTAGTGGGGGTGGTGGTGATGGTGGTGGTGGGAGGTAGTGGGGGTGGTGGTGGTGATGGCGGTGGTGATGGGAGGTAGTGGGGGTGGTGGTGTGATGGTGATGGTGGTGGGAGGTAGTGGGGGTGGTGGTGGTGATGGCGGTGGTGATGGGAGGTAGTGGGGGTGGTGGTGATGGTGGTGATGGGAGGTAGGGTGGGTGGTGGTGGTGGTGATGTGGTGGGAGGTAGTGGGGGGTGGTGGTGATGGTGGTGATGATGGTGGTGGGGGGTGGGAGTAGGGGGGTGGTGGTGATGGTGGTGATGATGGGGTGGTGGTGGGAGGTAGTGGGGGTGGTGGTGATGGTGTGTGGGAGGTAGTGGGGGGGTGGTGGTGATGGCGGTGGTGATGGGAGGTAGTGGGGGTGGTGGTGATGGTGGTGATGGGAGGTAGTGGGGGTGGTGGTGGTGGTGATGGTGGTGGTGGTGGGAGGTAGTGGGGGTGGTGGTGATGGTGGTGATGATGGTGGTGGGAGGTAGTGGGGGTGGTGGTGGTGGTGGGAGGTAGTGGGGGTGGTGGTGGTGGTGATGATGGGGGGTGGTGGGAGGTAGTGGGGGTGGTGGTGGGAGGTGGTGATGGTGGTGATGATGGTGGTGGTGGGAGGTAGTGGGGGTGGTGGTGATGGGAGGTGGTGATGGTGGTGATGGATGGTGGTGTGATGGGAGGTAGTGGGGGTGGTGGTGATGGTGGTGATGGTATGTAGTGATGGTGGTGATGATGGGTGGTAGTGATGGTGGTGGTGATGGGAGATGGTGATGATGGTGGTGATGGTCATCACCACACACCATATCATTCAGTCATCTCCATCGCACCACCACCAACACTGATGGCGATGGCCCAGATGTTGGTGGCATTATGAAGGTGGATGATGACGCTGAACACCTGTTAAAGAGCTTCCTAGCTCATCGGATTCCTCCAACATCAATATTTCCGAGAATGATGGTGCTCATGGTTGAGGGCGTGTGATGGTGATGATTGGATGGTGATGATGATGATGGTGGTGTTTGATGGTAGTGATGGAGGCATGGGGTGGGGATGAATGATGACCATATTGGTCGTGGTGATTGGTGCTGATGATGATCAATGGGTGGATGATGTGCTCCAATGCAGATGATGGCACGATTGTGAATGGCCGTTGGTGGTGATTGTGGGTGTTAGTGGTTGTGGTTTGGGCGATAATGTTCATGTATCGGTGCTGATTGTGGTGGTTGCTGTTGATCGAGGGGCGATTGATGTGGCCATGGGCTCGTGCATAGGAACTGCATCTGCCAGCTGATCTTGACCATTCTTCACCATTCTGGTCAGTGCGGGTTGGTGAAGGCGGGTCGCGTGGAGTATGGTCACAGTATAAGACAATGTAGTTTAGCGCTACTGCCCTCTGCTGACATTATAAACCTACTACATTGACTCAGCCAGGCAAGCATAGCACCTGGGTCAAAAACTCAACTATTTTACATCATAAAGGCTCTTTTGTTTGTTAAATCGCGTAAATATGAATTGTGTTTCAGGTGAGGCCCACGAAGTTGTATCACTTTTTCAGAAGCTGCCACAAATGAGAGCCCGTGCAGGGGGCATCATCGTCATCATCACGTGGACATCTATAGGAGCAGCCAGAAACTCCAAACGCGTGACATTCATTGTAAATGTGGAGGGATTAAACTCGTTTTAAACAAAGTTTTCATTAACAACTTCGTTGAACTCGCGGTCTTGAGAAGTGCGTCAATGGCGCCCAAACAACCGCGTGGCGCCGGCTTCGTGTGCGAGGCGTCCACACAAAATGAGAATTACTTAAAGTAGCGAATTCATTGATTTAATCGATGCCGATTTCGTTACAGGCACGCATTGTCACGGGATCTGAGTCCGTGTGGAAAATGTGGAATTGATTGGGCAACGGGAAGTGGATGAAGTTTTGATGACAAGATTTGACCACGACACGCAGAGGAATTAAGATGAAGTAGAAGCGTCGAAAAAGCGAAACACGGAGAAAAATCCACGCGACCACGGGGGGAGAGACATGGAAAGGGCGGCCATAATGACGTCACGCGATTTTGGACGATTTTTGACCCCCCCCCCCCTTCGTCACACGGCGTCACAAAAAGTCAGACCCCCTCCTCAAATATGACGTCACAAAGCTGCCCCCACCCCCCAAAAATAAAACATGCTTCAAATCGCTTTCAACTATTGTCATTGTAGTGCGTGTTTAATGTGACGCTGCACTCTGATGTTGTAGGAGAAAACATTTATTAAAAAGTATTTAATTAAGTAGAACGTGTTGTCTATATTATTTAAAGTTGCGCATTTGATGTGACGTCACATTTCTCCCCCCCCCCTCGTCACACATCGTCACACATGTCTGACCCCCCCCCCCAGGTGCGTGACGTCATTTATGGACGGCCCCAAACTACAAATAAACAGCAGCAGCAGCTGATCATTGTTTTTTACCCTTCTCTCTGGCAACAACACTGACACCTTTTTTACAAGGAGTCTTGTTTGCATAGACCACAATACCTGCAGTCGTAATGCAAACAAAAACATAACTCTGATAATGTATGCACTGTCCTTGAAGTTGATTGGTCCACACCCGAGCTGTCTCGGGTGTGGACCAATCAACTTCAAGGACAATGCATATATTATCAGAGTTATGCATACATTATCAGAGTTGTGTTATTTGTTTGCATTACGACTGCAGGTATTGTGGTCTATGTAAACATGACTCCTTGTAAAAAAAGGTGTCAGTTGTGTTGCCAGATAGAAGGGTAAAAAACAATGATCACATTTTGTACTGGCAAATGAGGTTCCAATGGAGCCGCAGCAGTTGTCAGGGTGGACACGGGGCACGTGTCGCCCTCCACCGCACGGGCGACGGAGTAACGCCTCCCTCGACCTGCACCTAGCCTGGCACAACGAGGGGCTGACTGCCGTGCCTGCCTCCAGCAGTCACCCCATCACGCCCGGGTCTGTCCCGGAGTCTCATAGTCCACTTCCACGTGACGGCCTCGAAGTGCACCTAGCCTGGCACACAAGCGCTGTCGTCACGTGCGGAGCGGTGGCAGCGTGGTTAGCGCGGCGTTGACGTCACGGTCCATGTCAACAACGGCGTCTGGTGCTTGCAGCTGGTGGTTCTGACGTCACCCCGCACGCGCCGTGACGTCACCCTCCCAGACCGTCTTGTTGACGTCATCCTCCTGCTTTTAACGCACGTGACGTCACCTGCCGCAGTGGCGCGCGCGCGCGCGGTGGTTGTCGGAGGAGGTTCAAACGGCACGAAGATGGCCACCGCGCGAGAAGCCTCGGCGCGCGGTGACGACAACAAACAACCGAACAACAACAAAACAACCGAACAACAACCAAACAACAGCCGAACACAACAAGTAGACGAGGGATGGCGGCGCACCAGCTGGTGTTCCTGGTGGAGGCCGCGTCCGCCGCGGAGGCCGCGCGCGCCGCGGTGCCGCGGCTGCTGGGAGCGCTGCGCGGCGCCTCGGGCCGGACGCCGTGAGCTGGGGCCTGGGCCGCACGCCGCACGCCGCCTCGGCCTCCCCTCCTCGGCCTCCTCCTCCTCGGCCTCCTCAGCCTCAGTGTCGTGTTCAGCTGCCGCGGCTTCTCTGGTCGCGTGCCGCGTGCGCGAGTTCAGAGACGTGAGCCGCGCGTTGCAAGCGCTGGACGCGGAGCTGGGGGCGCTGAGCCGCGGACTGGTAGGCGGTGGAGGTGGTGGCGGTGATGGAGGCGGTGATGGTGATGGAGGCGGTGATGGTGGTGGTGATGGAGCGGTGGAGGTGGCGGTGGTGGAGGCGGTGGGTGATGGAGGCGGTGCTGGAGGCGGTGGTGGTGGAGGCGGTGATGGAGGTGATGGTGATGGAGGCGGTGATGGTGGTGGTGATGGAGGCGGTGGAGGTGGCGGTGGTGGAGGCGGTGATGGTGATGGAGGCGGGTGTGGAGGCGGTGGTGGTGGAGGCGGTGATGGAGGTGGGACTGGTGGAAGCGGTGGTGGAGGCGGTGATGGTGGTGGAGGTGGTGGAGGTGGGCGGTGGGACTGGTGGAGGCGGTGATGGTGGTGGAGGTGGTGGAGGTCGTGGAGATGGAGGTGGCGTTGGGACTGGTGGAGGCGGTGATGGTGATGGAGGCGGTGGTGGAGGCGGTGATGGAGGTGGGACTGGTGGAAGCGGTGGTGGAGGCGGTGATGGTGGTGGAGGCGGTGGTGGTGGAGGCGGTGATGGAGGTGGGATGGTGGAAGCGGTGGTGGAGGCGGTGATGGTGGTGGAGGTGGTGGAGGTGGCGGTGGGACTGGTGGAGGCGGTGATGGTGGTGGAGGTGGTGGAGGTCGTGGAGATGGAGGTGGCGTTGGGACTGTTGGAGGCGGTGCTAATGGAGGGGTTGGTGCTGTTGGCCGAGACGTTGGTGACGGCGTTGATGGAGGGGCCATTGAGGCTGCTGCGAACGCGGTGGGCAGTGCATCTGGCGGCGGGGTTGATGGTGAGTCGTGTCGTGTTTGTGGTGGAGGAGCCGCAAGAGCCGGCGCGAATGGTCGAGGCTGCCGAGTTTGTC